CATTAAAGGCACAATGTCACACATTTTCGACAATATTTTGGCCTATATTTTATATATTGGGGCATATGTACTTTTGCTTCCTATTGACGCAATGAAAGACTCATTATCCCTTACGACTTGCCTGAAAGCGATAATTGAAACTTCGAGACGAACAGCTTCCACAGAACACTTGCCATATAAGGAATGTAAACAGTTGCTCCGTACATCGAAAACTGTCGCACGCGGAGTTGTCAGTGTATGCCGAACTTGTTCCAATCACAAGTTGCATTATAGGATGTTCGTACAGAGCGCTCCAAGGGACATAACATCTTACCTCGCACATAAATGTCGCTTTCTGATTGGCTGAGCGCTCTTCTATTATTTTCAATGTACCCCGCTTACAAGCCAGTAACATTTCAATGTACCCCGCTGTCAATGGCAACTCATTTGGTACTTCGTGGTAGTAATTCTTTAACTCGAATTACATTGAATCACGTATGATGTACGGAAATTACCGATGTTTTGCGAATGCAAATAGATGGAAGGGAGATAACTCTAAATCTGTTTTTCTTGTCAGCAAAATCTAGCCATGGCTACAAAACGATTTGTACCCGTGCTTCAAACAAAATTCAAAATTAACATAAAAGTGTTCGGTAAGATGAATATGTTGTTCACTGGTCCCTCGGGGCCCATGGGTTGATGTACCCTTCGTGCTCAGGGAACATAAACAAACATCGTGGGTACATCAACCCATGTCCCCCTCGTGACCAGTGAACAACTTATAATGGAGTTCGCTTGAAATAATGTTCGGTCGGTAGAGGGCGCGAGTGTCGATTTAAAACAACGTTGCATGAATTCATTGGAACTTTTTAATTTAATATTGTAATCATTATACGTAATTTTGCATTGGAATAAATTATATGGTAGCTTACCAGAGGGCTGATAATTGGTATCATTGAGAGAAATGCATTATGTGGTGTGACATTGTGCCTTTAAAATTCGAATGTGGGCAGGACAAAACTGTTACTGACATTATGCGTCATGACTCATACTGTTGCGGTTCTATGAAAAGCAATCAAAAAGTCAACGAGCTTAGCCACTCGTTCCACCATTGTCTCTCCGTGCTACAATCATAACTTTGTGCGGGTGGTAGGGGGTTGCAATTCTTACCAGGAATCCCAAGGGGTATTGAAAAATCAAACGGGAATCAGGAATATCAAAAGATATTTATTTCATGAAAGACTGAACAGCAGTAATAGGGGACAGGAGTGCTGTCGACATCACAAGGTAAAGAAAGCTAGACCGCTGACTCAGCACTAATTATTTCGCCAAGCAGATCACTGAATCTTTACTTTCATACGTGGTGTTTCATGTTGAATTGAGTTCCGAGCGAGTTTTCTTTCACCGTATGAAAGTAACGATACGTATACATTACACAAAAGAATTTACGAAAGTTATACTAAGAAACATTCGGATGCTTCGTAACTTCTTTTCTATACGTATATGTCCCGTCAGATTCCTCGTTTGCCACATGATCTTGCGCACTGCGCTTATCTCGAACTACGGATGACTCGTCAGACTGCGGCTAGTACCTAGATGACTTCGATTTAACGACGTTCACTGTATGACCATCTTGACTTTCAACATCAGCAAAAAACAAAGAAATAGACCATCTTCACAAATAGGTAGGAGCGGGATGGGGATTGGGTTTCAAACACGTACACAAGCGCAAAGGGCACCGGGTGGCATCGCAGTTAAAGCATTTACTTGACGAGCGAACGCTTTAACCACAGGGCTACCCCACTGCTCCGCGAAGACCAGTAGATCCTGGCTCAGGGGCGTCATTCTGGCCACTTACACCATAAGGTCAGCTATCCCGGTCAGTAACGTAAATAATATAAATGACTTCATCCGGGAAGGTCGTGTTATATCTCATCTGACCTCCAGGGTCGGAGTTCAAGGGATCGGGTTACACTGATTCCAACATGTTATAAGTTCTGTTTTAACAACAACATTTTAAAATACGTACAACTATGAAAATACAGCGGCCAGTACGGATCCAGTTTGGATCAGAATAAGGCAGTTCAAGGACGGAAATACCACCAGAATAGTAAGACAATATCACAGGATGTTCTTGAAACATCGAAAACCTTAACTGTTAATACACTTCGTGAGCGCCTCCGTATATACTGACCAACATAAGTCACGCAACGAAGCATCATTTGGACGTATCGGAACTTCATGGAGGGAACCAACTTAATCATAATTATTTGAAAAGTTATTATTCCCTGTAACAGCATTTACATCGATGTTCGAGTCTGATTAGAAGCGAGGCGATAAAGGGCCAATAATCGAGGAGGGGAGGCGTCTTAAACCAAATACTCCGGTCCCCCAAAGCCTGGGGAGAATCTTTCGTTTTCATGCTTTGAAAGAAACAACACTTTACACACAGAGACAATTTCGGAATGATTGGGCAACGATCCTCAAAATACCAGTGCAGTGCACGGGACGTTAAGAGGAGATTAGGCTTCGCTGAATGTTTACTAGTATGTCATACACATAAGACATAATCATTGATTATGTCAGTCATACAAGGTCTTAAACATGGCATTGTGTATTCATAGACATACAATGTCATAACACTATCTTTTAGTCATAAGAACTATCTCTTAGAAAATAACTTCAGCTCATTAAATTGATCTCTGTACGCAGGAGAATACTAATTACATATTGCAACGTATTTGACTCCGTTATAATATATACAATGAATAATCACCTATACATCGTAACACCCGTCAGCGTATATACAGCGATATATACTGCAAAATAACGGTATGTTTGACAGGCGCTATAACAAACCGTAATAAGGGCCTGTAAGTCTCGCGAGGCGCTACTTGAGGGACTAAGCTGGTTTCCCGACCCCTTTGAGAGCGCCAATTGCAACTTGCGATAAGCGAAACAGCACCCAGCTTACTTCCGGTGACAAGCGTATATTCTTAACCAGTTTTGGTTCCAAATTGCGCAACCGCCAAATATGACTTTACTAGACCGGACCAAGTGTACAACCATGCTTGGCTGTCACAGTTGTTGACAGTCGTAATAATTGGCTAATTATGGGGATGGTTAGAACGGAAATTTGTTATTCCTGCTAGGAGCCAATATGTGCCACAGTTCCTTACTGTCAACTGACAACCATGAGACCATTCGAAAAATTATAAAACGTTGTTTGTCACCGGAAGTACTAAGGTCTCGCGAAGTACCGTGACCTACTTACGGGCTCTATTCTGAAATAAGCGACACATGTATTCCACAGTTATGATATTTACAGCATTAACACGTGATGGTTATGGAACACTTAAATTACCACGACACCTCTAAACGTAACTTTACAGAAGTATGGTGAACGTTGGTTCTTACAAATATTCACACGCAGTATATTGAAAATGGGGAAACTTGACAGGAAATCTCCCGGAGCAGACTCTCAATCAGATTAACATCATTGCACGAATTTGTCTGCATAGCTGTACTATACATATGTAAGTAAATAAATGGGTAAAGTTCAAACCCATGCTTATAAGTATATACAGGAATACACAGGTAAATATTTTATCAAAAGAATGTACATATTTGGTGTTAGATATTACTACAGAAAGAATTGGTCTTCTACAACCCATGCTTGTTGTATAAGGCGATAAACTGGAACGGCTGGTTATGCATGTCATCGTATCCCAACTGCGTAGATCGATGCTCATGATATCAATCACTGGATTGTCTGGTCCAGACATTATTAGTTACAGACCGCCGTCATTTAGCTGGAAAATGGTTGAGTAGGGCGTAACAAATAAACAAACATACATACAAACAGACAGAACCGAACATGATGACTCGTCATCTTTGTCATACTACGTTGTACGACAATCAAAACACAAAGCGTTAGTGTAAAGTGTTTCTTTCGTAGCACGTCAACAGTAGACAGGGTAAACGGCACTTAGCATTTAAGACACGGGGATATTAGCAACAGAAAGAAGGTAAAACAAACCTAAAGATAATGTTCAATGTGTTCATGAAAATAAAATTATATATAGAGGAGGATACCAGAAAGAAACTCGCCTGCAAAAATGTCTTTAGAAAAAATATAATTATTCAAATTCTCTTTTCAGAGAACAAATTGTGTCCCAGGCAGATATTACAACAGTCTGTCTCTTGTAACTAACATCCCGAGTTCATTCTCCACATCGCACCACTACCAGCATATAAAACGTTACGTTCCCAGCTGTGTGACATCAGCGGTGCTTGTCCAAAACAAATTCTTAAAGAGTTGCTAGTACACTGAATTGCACTTGGGCTGGTGAACTGTTGCAAAGAATTCATCACATTCATGTCAGTCGTCATGATGTGTTAACATTATGCTATTCTAACACGGTGAATTAACATTTCGACGTTCACCAATACTAACGTTTAGGAATATGTGTTGATAAAAATATACTGTCAAGATATTATAAGTTCCCCTGAAACGGTTGTAAACTAATAACTATGCACTGGACGTTTAGTCCCCAGCGTTGGCAAATTGTTAACACCGTTAAACTGAATTCAGTAAAACCCCTCTAATACGGACACCCATTTTCCGGCTGATTACCTTAGGTAGGTTTACAGATATATCACTCTCTAACAAAGGGGCGAAGGGTTAGCATAGTAGTTCAAGCGTTCGCTCGCGATGCTTAAGGTGAGGGTTCGATTCCCCACCTGGATCCAAAATTAAGGCAGTGTTTCGTATCTCGGTTATGATATAAATGGAATATTTATATTTTTATAAAAGTCCTCCTCTATCACTCACGCTAACAAACACTCGTTATTCCGTACATTTGTTAAAGAGAAACGTAACCGAAAATGGTATTGTCCGAATTAAAAGAGGTTCACTGTATGATATAATGCTTTCTGTACCAAGTTGTCATTTTAAAAAATGCTGACAAAAAATGTCCCCATTTTAAGTATAAAATGCTGAATATTGTATTAGGACTGTTAAATATCTCAGGTTATATAAAATAGTTTTCTGGCAAGAATTGATTGTAAACAACAAGAATAGTGAACTCTTACAGTCTCTACTTTGGTTGCAGGAATACATTTACAGCTGTCATCTATATAAATAGTCGGTAACTATGGCAACGGGCTTAGAAAACCAACCAACACAAACTTTTATATTAGAACCTACAACTTCACGACTTCAACACAAAGACGCCAATTCTTTACACATAAACCAACACTCACATTCTCTGACCATTCTCAGATAACAGATACTATAACATACATATTTGTCTACGACTTATTACCATATTTTCCATCACTAGCACTGAGACCACCAATTTGTGGCAACAACCATATACTACGGGGTCTGTTTTAGCAAAAACTGAATCCACCCCGGGTATCAACTATATAGAGTTATATATTTGTAGATTATATACACGTATGTAGCTGTATAAGGGTCTGGCATTAAGAGGACAACTTTGCCATATACATGCCATAGAGGCCCCTACACGCTATAACACGTACGTGTATAAGGAAGTGACAAGATAGTGATGATTTGTCTCCTTTGGTTGTACTGACTATTACGTTGCTCCTTAAAACAGTCGTTTAAAACAATTTTATTTTTTAAAATTTAGAAAATATAGTTCAGTAGCCCTTATATCTTGAAATACTTAAAAGGTAGCTTTTGTGAAAAAATAGGCAGTTCATATCTGTATAAACTCTTGTCATTTCCATATCACACATACAGGAGAAGAGTACATTTAACTATCCATAATGAGGGCCCTAAGACCGATCGTTGCCCTTATCATGGATGATTATCTGACAACAATATGTCTGTACACAATACTGAGTCAAAGTATGTACAGGTATCACAGTGGAGAGCAAAAAGTTGCGATGGAAACAAAGGGTCAAAGTTCATCTAGAATGTCAAGGACGCTGTAGTTTTGACGTCCATTCAGAGAAGTGTCGGAGGTCAGTCCTCCTTCTTGGGAATGGTGTTCTTCTTCCCGAGGATTCCCATCAGTTCCTTGCTCATGTAGTAGGGCTTGTCTGCCGAGCCGTCGTGACGTTCGAGATCTTCCACTAGAATAATGATAAAAATAATAATGATAATGCACTATGATGATGCTGATGTTGATATAATAATGATAGTATTCCTATGATCTAGATGATGATGATGATGATGATGATGATGATGATGACGATCATGATGATATGTATTTTTCTGTTTATAAAAATGGTGATAATAATGATAGTATTCCTATGATCTAGATGATGATGATGATGATGACGACGATCATGATATGTATAGATGGTGATAATAATGATAGTATTCCTATGATCTAGATGATGATGATGACGACGATCATGATGATATGTATAGATGGTGATAATAATGATAGTATTCCTATGATCTAGATGATGATGATGACGACGATCATGATGATATGTATAGATGGTGATAATAATGATAGTATTCCTATGTGATCTAGATGATGATGATGACGACGATCATGATATAGATCCTATGATCTAGATGATGATGATGATGATGATGATGACGATCATGATATGATGATGTATTCCTATGATCTATGATCTAGATGATGATGATGATGACGATGATGATGACGATCATGGTATAGATGGTGATAATAATGATAGTATTCCTATGATCTGATGATGATGATTCATGATCTGTTTCCTATAGTATTACTATAAATTTCATGATGATGATGATACGACGACGACGGTGATGAGTGAGTGATTCATAATGATATTAATTTGGTAGGAAAGCTCCAAGTAATGCAGGTCTTGGGCGATGACTGACGTTACAATACACAGATGATGATGATGATGATGATGACGATCATGATGGTATGGATGGTGATAATAATGATAGTATTCTGATCTAGATGATGATGATGATGGTGATGATACGATCATGATGTATTATGTATTTTCTGTTTTAAAGATGGTGATAATAATGATGGTATTACTGTAAATTTCATGATGATGATGATGATGATGATGACGACGACGACGGTGATGTGAGTGATTCATGTTTAATGTCACTTTTAACAGCATTGCAGGTATGTTCGCCATGTGTCATATTAATTTGGTAGGAAAGCTCCAAGTAATGCAGGTCTTGGGCGTACTGACGTTACAATACACAGATCCACCATTGAACTGGCTTGTTTATTCTTAAGTTTAGAATCACACACATCCTTGACGTTCTATTCAACCATAAAGACGGACTATATTTTCTTGAAAAATATCTTGTAACTATTAGTTCAAAAGATTTATGGAAATGTTTGACAAAACTTGTAATGTACATGATTTTAATGTTAATTCGTATAGATACACCCAAATTAGCTGCGTTTTGTAGTTCCTGTGTGACTGAACTAGAAGATGAATTCCATATTACATTAGTATGACCTCTTTACAATGAGTATCGAGTCAGATATATAGTATTTACCCGAATACTGTCGTAATGACCCTAATGTTCAAATATTTATTGAATTGATGAGAACAAGTGATAAGAATAGACTTTCTTGCATCTTTCTTAAAAAAGTGTTTGTACTTCGTCGATCGAAACGAAGAATCTCTGTGAACACATATAATGGTATCGATTGACGTAATAAGATCATTATTTTTAGTGTGGCACATGTTTTTGTCTAATTGTTTTACACATGTTGTACTGTTGGCCTCATGGCCATCTAAACGTAAACAATGGCGATGAATCACGAAAACGGCAACATATGGCGAGGTAGAACTGACATATCGATATGACTCACGGAAACACAGGAAGAGTGTGTCCACGGCCATGCCGTAAACGCTGAAGAAGCAGGAGGCGATGACGTAGCTGCCAATGATGACGACCTGCGAAGAAAGAGTGTCAGCATTGTAACATACGTAAAGGGAGAATGAGGTTTCAGCAAGAATCCAGGCACACATTAAAAACATCAATGTAGACACCATGCAGTTTATTGAGTAACCGTAGCCCTAGATACAAAAAGACGGAATGGTGAAATATAATCATCTATGACTAACACATCGGACATAACAAAGTCAGATATCACCAGTAATCGGATATAAACACGTCAGATATCACCAGTAATCGGATATAAACAAGTCAGTTATCACCAGTAATTGGATATAAACAAGTCAGATATCACCAGTAATCGGATATAAACAAGTCAGATATCACCAGTAATCAGATATAAACAATCATATATCACCAGTAATCGGATATACACAAGTCAGATATCAACAGTATTCAGATATAAACAAATCAGATATCACCAGTAATCGGATATAAACAAGTCAGATATCACCAGTAATATGATATAAACAGGTCACATATCACCAGTAATATGATTTATCCAGTCAGATATCACCAGTAATCAGATACAAACACGTCAGATATCACCAGTAATTGGATACAAACAAGTCAGATATCACCAGTAATTGGATACAAACAAGTCAGATATCACCAGTAATTGGATATAAACAAGTAATCAGATATGAACAAGTCAGGTTCAATGGCAATCCGATAAAAACAAGTCAGATATCACCAGTAATAAGATATAACCAAGTCAGATATCAACTAATAATCGGATATAAAGAAGTCGAATATTTGCAGTAATCGGATATAAACAAGTTAGATATAACGGTAATTGGATACAAATTAGTTAGCTATCACCCAATAATCGGATATAAAGAAGTCGGATATCACCAGTAATCGGATATAAAAAGTCAGGTATAACAGTAATCGGATATATTTAAGTCAAATATCACCAGTAATTGGATATTAACCAGGTCAGATATCCCCAGTAATCGGATACAAACAAGTCAGATATCACCAGTAATTGGATATAAACAAGTAATCGGATATAAACAAGTCAGATATCACCATTAATATGATATAACCAGTCAGATATCACCAGTACTAGGATTTAAACAATCAGATATCACCAGTAATAGGATTTAAACAGTCATATATCACCAGTAATAGGATATAAACAGGTCAGATATCACCAGTAATAGGATATACACAGGTCATATATCACCAGTAATAGGATATTAACAAGTCAGATATCACAATTAATAGGATATAAACAAGTCAGATATCACCAGTAATGGGATATTAACAAGTCAGATATCACCTGTAATAGGATATAACCAAGTCATATATTACCTGTAATAGGATATAAACAAGTCAGATATCACCAGTAATAGGATATTAACAAGTCAGATATCACCTGTAATAGGATATAACCAAGTCAGATATCACCTGTAGTCCAATGTAACCAGTAACCAAGATGTTACAAAATATGAACGATCGGAAGTTGTCGAACGTATCAAATATCACCTGCGCGTAAAACAACATTCAGTGACTAAGGTGATAGAACCATAAAAGGACTCACCACAATAGGAACAACATAAAAGTTGAGGTTAGGCGTGTACTTGGCTAAGTACGGTATCCTCCCGTCGAAGAAAAAGAACGACCCAGCTCCTGCAGAACAACATGTTACATGTATTGATGTATCGCCCCTCCCCCACGTAAGTACAACAGAGATCCTATACGGTATCACTGTATCAATTCTAGCAACAGCTTGTTGCTGAAATATACAGCGCTCTAAGGAATACACACAGACTACCGCACACAAAATCATTACAAACCGCCAAGTGAACTGGAATTAATTCGTGGATGTTGAAAAAATTAATCCTGTCACAGAAATATACCAATTAAGTTGTTGTATAGTTGTTTACAGATCTGAAGAAAAAAAGTGTTCCATATGTTTGTTGTATTGTTAAAACTGTTTTGATGAAATGGGTTTTTTCAGGCTGTCTGTATTCATTCTGCTTCCCATTTCCCACCCTGAATTTTCATTCCGACGTGAAATAAAAATAGTTTTCTTTTTCAATTTATGCCCTGATTTGAAAAATAAAATCTTATCCTTTCACACTCATAAAAAGCAGGTCAGTATATATGTCTGAATGTATTTGAAAATGTTTCCGAAGCAAAGCGACTTGACGTAAATAATGAATAAGTTTAAATACTATTATTGATCTAAATAGAAATACTGTTATAGCTTTTACAATTATTATAAAACATGTTACATAATAGTAAAAAAGTTGGGTTTTCTTCTTTTATCCTCGCCCACGCTCCCGTGTTGAGATTGGAGATGAGAAACACATAATATTTAAAAATGGCCTCAAAGTATTCCTACTTTCTTTGTACTCACCCACAAGTCCCACGATTACCAGTTTCCCGATAAATAGCAGGAAATCCGTCACCTTGTCTATAACGACAACCCTGAAAAGGAGAACAATTTTCAATAAGGACACGTAACACTGGTCGCCTTTCCAGCATTTTTGGGGGAACGTCTTAATCGTGAAAATACACAAAGGGACATAACTCCCACCAATGATCCGAACGACTGGGAAACTGTGCTGACTTCACTGGGTTTAACGTTCTTCATTATGTCATTTGATCCCAAAGAACGCAAACAGAATTGCCAAAAGAATCGATGAAGGTATCGGAGTGATTTTCTGTACTAGAAGCGTCGACTGCTAAAACACATTTTCTGAGGAAAGGCCACAGTGGGTCGTCAACCGCTATGGTGAACAACGAGTATGGTGCAGTACAGGAACCATTATCAGGGCAGTCATAGGATTCTGGCACACGAAAGGGACGCAACTCCTTACAGGGGACTGTAGATTCTTAAGCAACAGTCAGAATACTGTACCTGTTTGGGTATCCATGTAAGTAAGGCATGGCATATCAGTGGGCCTAGCACTATAAAAACGGCTTTAGTACTAGTACAAACAGCCACGCCCAAACGTAAACAAACAACTAAACAAACACACACATACACGCGCGCATACATGCATACACACAAACGCGGTATCTAAGGGCAATAATTTTACAAGCGACGTGAATGCACATTTGCTACCGTTTTAAATCACGCATTCACCTGGGTTAGAGAAACAAATCCCTTACCTGACGACGTTTCGAAGGATGAGGAAAAACGCGTCTTTTGCTGCCATGCAGAAATTCTTGCCATAGATGGCGGTCTGAAACAGGGAAAACATACGTAAACACTGCCCGGGGCCTTTGTCATCTCTTGCACACATGACATGTCTGTACATCCTATCACAGTCCCCAGTACACATGTACGTACACTGTAAGTGAATACTCGTTCACCTAAACCTGCCCCCCGTTGTACCCCACGTTGCTGTTCTTCCTTAACCTGATTCCCTTAAGGCCGCACATCTTTACATTATGCCCACTACTGATCCTAGCCAAACTGTACATGTATATTTCATTTCATCACCTGGTGCCCGCCAAGCCTTCATGTTTCCGATAGTATTTCCTATACCGATCTGTTTAAACAATAAAACATGTTTGTCTTGTTCACGTGTATATTGATAGGCTATTAATCCTGCAAAGTATTAATTAACAAATTACCACATTTAACAAAACCTTGTCATATTTAATTTGGTTGAAATCTAAAAACAATCAAACACGGTTGTGTCGAAGTTACGGTTGTCTCATGTCGAAGTTGTCCCTGTGTATTCCCAGTTAAGTTTAAACAAATTCGGTTGTGTCGAACATCTGATAACTCGAAATATTTGCGTAGGTTCCTTCAACTTTGACACAGCTGTGTTTGAGTTTTCGAAAATCGACAAATCCGAGATGCGCTTGATCATATTCATTTACATATGTAAAACGAAGACAACAAAAGCAGTTATTTTAATTTCCCCCGTCAAAGAAGTATTTGCTACGTCACACACAAGTTCCAGCGGATACACAACTGATTATGTATCACAAAGTCTTACGATGATGTAGGCATTCTTGTTGATGAATTTGATGAACTTCTCCAGACACCAGAAGCAGCACTTCAGACATCTGTAGGCAAACAGACAGTATTAATCAGCGGGGATGAGAATGTATTAATGAGATACTATCTAATCTGATACTTTATAAATCAGCAACTATAAGACACCTGAAGAAAACAGACCTTATTACTAAGTAACTATCAGATTTCTTTACATAACAGACACTATTACTCATGAGCTGCAAGACATCTGCAGACAGAAGACAGCATAACTACGTCATTATCATATATATACTCATGGAGACGAAAAAGGGAACACATGAAAGTACAAGTTTTCCTTTATTTCCAGAATTTCACTCACAGTGCAATACATACCTTGTGAAGAAACATGGAAAAGAATAAAGGAACACTCGTACTTTCACGTGTTCCCTTTTTCGTTTTCATGAGTATATGCAGACAGCAGACAGTATAATTACGTCACTTTCACGTGTTCCCTTTTTCGTTTTCATGAGTATATGCAGACAGCAGACAGTATAATTACGTCACTTTCAGATATCTGTAGACAACAGAGACTTTTGTTCAAGAGGTATCAGATGTCCTAAACTCACGTCAAGAAGAATTTGGCCACAGGGTTCTCACTGCCCTTGAGCTTGTGGTCCAGATACTCCAGGAACACCCGGATCATCTGGACGATCGCGATGATCAGGGCGCCGAACGCCAGGGTGCCCAGGTGATACCTGGAAGTCGACAAGGGTTTATAGATATCATACATCAACGTTATAGGTTTATACTTTTGTTGTTCTTATTTAACCCTACAACCAGCACAGTTCCATTTATGAGGATCGGGTCTGGACGAGACAATCCAGTGATTGAAATCATGAAAATGGATCTACGCAATTGGGGTGCGATTTCGTGCTTCAGCGTGCGTGTCCACCCGATCCTATTAGTCGCCTCTTATGACAAGCATGGTTGGTGAAGACAAATTCTAGCTCGGATCTTCATGGGTGTCCTAGAGGTTGAAACGTATAGGCAGCTGGAGACAAATTCTTCAAGGGTTTGTATATAATCGAGTCTGGACCAGACAATCCGGTGAACGATATCATGAGCAACGATCTAGGCAATTGGTATACGATGACACGTGTCAAGCCAGCGAGCCTGACCACCCGATCCCGTTAGTCGCCTCTTATAATTACGACAAGCATGGGTTACTGAAGACCAATCCTAACCCGGGGCTCAAGTACAACATCGCCGAGGTTCACGGTCTAAAACACCATTTAATTTAACATGAAACCTCTTTTGTAATTAATTATTTGCTTCTTAATATATTATATAACCCGCCCAGAAACTGTCAGGAGAACCTATAAAGAAATATACATGTATGCCCCACAACGACAGGAAAGGAAATCAGCATTAAAATTTTGAGCGATCGAATAAAACATCTGTTTCATTTTGGAACTTTTCCTTAATCAAGATGGGTTTTGAAAAGAACAGCACTGGTCCAAGCACTTACGCAGACGCGCCGGACTTTAAACTCAGTATGTCCCTTTGTTATTCACACCTGTACATCCTCAGTGTACCTACCTGAAGCAACGCCAGAAGGAGCTGACCAATGGGAAGGTCGGAATGTCCTTGCTCTTGTCCCACGCCCAGTAGTACGAGGCGAACGCTCCGGCCAGCGTCATCTGACCCAGGGCCACCGCGAAGTTGACCATCCAAAACAGCATGAAGATGTTGTAGATTTGGAGGTAGATAGTGAAGCTGAAGTACGACATGACGCTTTTTATTGTCATAGATGAATGTTGATGTACGCCGCTTTCAGAAATATTAGGGTAAAACATCATGACGTATGACACAAAGAGGTTAGGATCTTATGGTTGTATGGGGAATCGAACCTGTAACGAGTGAATGTGTTGACCACAAGGATACCAAACATACTATGTGCCCGAGTATTGTTTTACGCCGCTTTCAACACATTTAATCTCATCAAGGCACAAAAAGAGCTTCATACATTGTACCATGAAGAGAGTCGAACCCGTGTCTTCTGCATGACGGGCAGACATTTTGCCACTGGCTTACCAAATCTCCCTGTCACCACTTTGTCACCACCACAGACCGCCGCCATATAGCTGGAATATTGCTGAGTGAGTGAGTGAGTGAGTTTAGTTTTACGCCGCACTCAGCAATATGGCGGCGGTCTGTAAACAATAGAGTCTGGACCAGACAATTCAGTGATCAACAGCATGAGCATCGATCTGCGCAATTAGGAACCGATGACATGTGTCAACCAAGTCAGCGAGCCTGACCACCCGATCCCGTTAGTCGCCTCTTACGACAAGCATGGTCGCCTCTTACGACAAGCATGGTCGCCTCTTACGACAAGCATGGTCGCCTCTTACGACAAGCATGGTCGCCTCTTACGACAAGCATGGTCGCCTCTTACGACAAGCATGGTCGCCTCTTACGACAAGCATGGTCGCCTCTTACGACAAGCATGGTCGCCTCTTACGACAAGCATGGTCGCCTCTTACGACAAGCATGGTAGCCTCTTACGACAAGCATGGTCGCCTCTTACGACAAGCATGGTCGCCTCTTACGACAAGCATGGTCGCCTCTTACGACAAGCATGGTCGCCTCTTACGACAAGCATGGTCGCCTCTTACGACAAGCATGGTCGCCTCTTACCAATTCTAACCTCTTACGACAAGCATAGTCGCCTCTTACGACAAGCATAGGTTACTGGAGATCAATTCTAACCTGGATCTTCATGAGTCAGCAGTTTTAGTGAATGGTTGACAATGCGAGTGGTTGACAATGTAAATAAATGTTTGAGTGACTTACTCTCCACGGCCATACTTCAAGTAACCACACACGTTCCCAAGAGTCGTGTCGTTCGTCTGAAATATGAAAATTCACGTCAATGACTATCATCGGTTTATTGTGTGGGTAGGTTGCTAAAAGTAAAACTCGAAGAAAACCCCCACAATGCATCACGCCGCTTTGTACCGTATTCAACTTAGATAAGGCGTATCAGTTTACTCCGGGGGACTGGCCGAATTGTTGTTGGTCTGAAACGTTAACCACTATGGTGAGTGAGTGAGTTTAGTTTTACGAGCTTCATACATTGTAGCCGTATGGGACGTCGAACACGGTTTACCACTTTGGTGAAACCCGCAAGGACGTGTATGGTGCTGACCAACCAAGAAAAATAATATCGCCGCTTTTAACAAGATTCCAGCTGTCACACAGCGGTGGACACCAGAGATTGTACTCATGTGGGGAATCAAACTGTAGTGCTTTAACCACTAGGCTATCCCACAACCCCTACAAGAATAATGGGGTTCATCAGGAACCAATGAAGACTAAGATCTGCGTTAGATCATTACATTCTGTTAATGTTACTTACACAAACATTTCAGCTACATCAGGATAGGTTGTGATAAGAATGGGGAATCGAATCCGGACTTCGTGACGAATCGTTTCTTTAACAGTTCTCTTCTATCCCTAAAGTTGTAATTCAACTGACGTCGTTCATAGCACACGGATAGATAGCGACATTACAAACAACTTAAACAAAACGTATTGAAACTTGTTTGTTCTTGGTTTTTTTCGTGTTTGTTGTTGATTTTTATTCCTGTAAAGATGTTACATGTGACATACACGATGTATAGGCACTGTACAGGACATGAGAAATATAATGATAAATAAAAAATATATGAATAAATAAGTAACTAAATAGCTAAAAAAGTACAAAAAATATAATTTATTCTTTCACACATTCATACCAATACATACATACCCAATAAGTGATTAAATCATTTTTTAAAATTAATCTTAATGTTTCGATACATGGAGCAATCAAGTATTCCATAGTATTCACCACTAAACCCTTGATATTTTCATTTTTTCCAATAAGAGCTGATAATATTTCTGCACATAGTAAGAAAACATATGGCGAGAAAGGGTCTCCTTGTCTACAGCCACGGGGGATGGGTATCAACGGATACATTTTTCCATTTATAGCCAGAGTTGACTTAATATCTTCATAAAGTACAGAAATCCATTTAAAAATGCCATCACCAAATCCAAAAAATGTCAATGTTTTAAAAATAAAAAACCAGGAGACTGAATGGAAAGCCTTTTCAAAATCTACAAGTAGCAGCATACCTCGTATTTGCTTGAATTCTGTATGTAGAAGAAGGTCATAAATCATACGAATATTATCTCCAATATATCTATCAGATATATATCCTGTTTGATCTTCAGTAATGATATTGCGAGGACTGTTATAATCTATGTGCAATGACTGAGGATAGAAGGTTGTATGTTGAGTTTAACAGGGTAATTGGAAGAAATTGTTTTGGTTTATCTCCTTTTGGGATACATATTATTATTCCTTGTTTCTGAATTATGGACAGATGACCAATTTCAAGACTGTTAAAGATCTAAATAGAAGGTCATCAAGGTCAAGCCAGAAAAATTTAAAGAATTCATAAAAAAAACCATCTGAGTCCGGACTCTTGTTATTTTTAGATATTTTTAAATGCCGTTAAAAGTTCATCCTTAGTAATACGTCCATCAATGCTGTTTGGATTCTCAAACTTACATACATCGTGGTCACTAAGTAAATTATTAAGGTCTATATATTTCACAAGGTGCTCTCTGGGTGAGTACACGTCTTCATAGATATTTGTAGCTTCATTTATGATTTCATCTTTAGCATTCAATACTTTACCATTAGCTGTTTCTATTTCTTTCATATTGTACTTACATAATTTCTTGTCTCTAAATTACAGACTTATTTACTGATACATTCCCCTTCATCAATCCATTTGGTTAAAGATCTTACCAGTATTCCATCTAATTTTCTTTGTCGTGTAGTTCTTGTTTTCTAGTTTCTAATTCTTCTACAATAGTTTGTTCAAAATTGAAACTTAAAAGGTTAACGCACGTGAATCAGTCTCGATTGTTTGCTGAAACCGATGTGCGTGAAAGGCGAGATATTGAAAAAAATGTGTTTCTTAACATCAGTTCACACAATTTACTGAAATGAATGCATCATTGAAATCAGCTATGACTCGGGGTGTTCGCCATAAAGATACACATTCAACTGTTATGAAATACTACTCATTAAAACACACGGTCAAGATCAGTACAAAAGTGCAATCAGCCCCGATCATGGATACTTACATCAGTGTCACATGGTATCTGCTGGAACAGGCTTTTAGTGGTCTCCTTGACGAGGTCCTCGTTCACAGTCCCGTTAGCATACGTGATGTTGTTCTGACCTAGTTGCTGGTTCCGCCCAATGGACGCCAGGTACCTTGAGCTGGTTAAGGTTTATACTGTATATACTAACGCCATATGTATGTGTTTCTCGTTAAGGTTTATACTGTATATACTAACGCCATCTGTATGTGTTTCTCGTTAAGGTTTATACTGTATATACTAACGCCATCTGTATGTGTTTCTCGTTAAGGTTTATACTGCCTGTATCTGTATGTATGTTTCTCGTTAAGGTTTATACTGTATATACTAACGCCATCTGTATGTGTTTCTCATTAAGGTTTATACTGTATATACTAACGCCATCTGTATGTGTTTCTCGTTAAGGTTTATACTGTATATACTAAACGCCATCTGTATGTGTTTCTCGTTAAGGTTTATACTGTATATACTAACGCCATCTGTATGTGTTTCTCGTTAAGGTTTATACTGTATATACTAACGCCATCTGTATGTGTTTCTCGTTAAGGTTTATACTGTATATACTAACGCCATCCGTATGTGTTTCTCGTTAAGGTTTATACTGTATATACTAAAGCCATCTGTATGTGTTTCTCGTTAAGGTTTATACTGTATATACTAACGCCATCCGTATGTGTTTCTCGTTAAGGTTTATACTGTATATACTAACGCCATCCGTATGTGTTTCTCGTTAAGGTTTATACTGTATATACTAACGCCATCTGTATGTATGTTTCTCGTTAAGGTTTATACTGTATATACTAACGCCATCTGTATGTGTTTCTCGTTAAGGTTTATACTGTATATACTAACGCCATCCGTATGTGTTTCTCGTTAAGGTTTATACTGTATATACTAACGCCATCTGTATGTGTTTCTCGTTAAGGTTTATACTGTATATACTAACGCTCCGTAACGCCATCCATGTATGTGTTTCTCGTTAAAGGTTTATACTGTATATACTAACGCCATCCGTATGTGTTTCTCGTTAAGGTTTATACTGTATATACGCCATCCGTATGTGTTTCTCGTGTTTCTCGTTAAGCCATCTGTATGTATGTGTTTCTCGTTAAGGTTTATACTGTATATACTAACGCCATCTGTATGTGTTTCTCGTTAAGGTTTATACTGTATATACTAACGCCATCTGTATGTGTTTCTCGTTAAGGTTTATACTGTATATACTAACGCCATCCGTATGTGTTTCTCATTAAGGTTTATACTGTATATACTAACGCCATCTGTATGTGTTTCTCGTTAAAGTTTATACTGTATATACTAACGCCATCCGTATGTATTTCTCATTAAGGTTTATACTGTATACACTAACGCCATCCGTCATGACGTAGGTTGAGTTGTTTTGCTTCGGAAACGTTTTAATAAATGTAGATTGAGAAAAACCAACCCAGGGCGTGCAAGAGTAAGAAGACTTTTTCATCACCATGGTATGTTTCGACAACGTGGGGAAATTTTGAGAAAAGAAGACTTTTGATTATTTCGTGACTGAATGCAAAATCCGTGCGGGCCTTTACATATAAAACGAATACGCGTTTGACGAACTTCGGTTATAACGAACGGAATCTAGTTTTCCCTTTGAGTTCGTTATAACCGTAGATTACAATATGTATTCGAACGGCACTGACCTGAAACAACAGCTGTGTGTATTATCTAAATTCTGCATTGTAACACGAATGTATTAGATCTATGCTGTGGCCGTGGTAATATATTGTGATTCACACATAGTTATTTTTTCTGTTTTTCCCATTTTCGAACCAGTGTACCAGAAATATTTCCATAGTAGTCATAGTATTGACATTAATAATGTTACAGGCACGAATCACGTTTAGAGATTATGAGAATAACATATCTAACACTTAATTAACATCCGTCTATTTATTTACGATGTCCTCTGCTAGATTAGTTTAGTATTTTGAGATTAGCGAGCTTTAACAACGGAATAAAAGGATCATGCATATATATTTACTATAAGTTGAGGGACTTGTATTTGGTGGGTTATCAGGTACGGAAATACAAACAAGTGGTCGATATACTGAGCATTGATCCACGCGTCTGTTAAACATTAGATTATTTGACTAGGAAACTACAGAAAAGTAATATGGGGCAAGTTAAACAAAATACAAAAAAAAACACCTGTAAATTCAATATACAACCAGCTGTCACTATTGAGTATAGTTCAGCAATATAGAATTCAATATTTTGTCAAACCATTATTAACCATGTGACACACAGTAATTACAATGCCACAGCGTTATATTAAAAACACTTGTTAATCTGGAAACCTCGACAACAGGACAATTACCGTCAGTATACACCTGTGAAATAATATTCAGTTTTTTAACCAAAGTTGATTGCAATGGAGGAGATGCCGGATTATTTGTGGCCTCTTCACAAGGGTGTGACTATATGGTTGTCATGGTAACAAGGATACACAGCAACGGCCAGCTGAACCCCTACGACGACCAGCTGCATGAGGAAGGGGAAGATAGGCCAGAGGAGCGTGAACATCATGTTCCCAACAGCCCTGAAACCAAAGCCGAAACATATAGTACACATGATGCTTATTTGGTGATTGTTGGTTTACGTAACATTCTGCAATATTCCAACTGTGTGACGTCGGCCTGTAAATAATCGAGTTTGGACCAGACAATCCAGTGACTGACAACATGAACAAGATCCACGCCGCCAGGGTACAACCCAATCAACTGAGTCTCAAGTCCTTTGACACAATCCATTAGAAGATCCGGGTAAGAATTGATCTTCAGCAACCCATGCTTGTCGTAAGAGGCGACTAACGGGATCGGGTAGGCAGGCTCGTTGACTTGGTTGACACATGGCATCGTATCCCAATTGCGTAGAACGATGCTCATGATGTTGATCACGGAATTGTCTGGTCCAGACTGGATTATTTACAGACTGCCGCCACATAGCTGGAATAATGCTGAGTGCGGCGTTAAACAACAAACCAAAATAAGCCCAAACAACCCCATCCATTCAGATGCAACTTAAACCCAGCAGGGGTTGGTCCGCTATCCATGGACTATTCACGAAGCTGGCTTAACAAAGACACTATCTTAGCGGATAACGACTAACATAATACAACTGAAGTGTCTTCAGTGTTATCTGATTGTGTTATCTTGTTATCTTAACTGAGACAGTCAGCTCGGAGTTGCAACGGAGATATAAATTAAGCTGAGGGTTTACCAATGACTTCATCGATTATTCAAGAGGGTATTAGAGCGTGAGTGTCATATATGACACTAAGTTTTTATCTGGTTCAACACTTGTAAATGACGATATAAGAGAAAAACCCATCTAAAACGTTGGCTTCTCAGCCAGTGAATCTGATCAGACACTTTGGGGGATTGAGTGAGTATGTGAGCGAATTATGAAGTGTTAGCAGTGAGTTTTTGGAGACCTTTAACGAATCTTAGAAATTGTCTTCGTTAACCCATGCTTTTCGGAAGAGGCGACTAACGGGATCGGATGATCAGGCTCGCGTACTTGGTTGACACATGTCATCGTGTCACAATTATGTAGATGTGTGCTCATGATGTTGATCACTGGATTGTCTGGTCCATACTCGATTACTTACCAACCAGGTGTCATGAAATACACGCGAGGACATAATGGCGGCAAAAACGTCGCCTACAGCAGCTATAAAGTACATTCTACTTTATCACATACCTGCTTCCCTCCTTGATGAGGGCCACGGCGATGCGGATCCTGGAGATGAGGAAGAGCAGGATGAGCACGACGATGAGGAAGATGACTCCCGCTGTTATGCCTGCAAGTACCATGGATGTGATCAGATCCGAACAGTCCCGTGACGGAGTGAGTGAGTGAGATTAAGTTTACGTTGCTTTTAGCAATACTCCAGCTATATCACGGCGGGGGACACCAGATATGGGCCTCACACATTGTACCCATGTCGGGAATCGAACTCGTGACGAGCGAACGTTAAAACCACTAGACCCACCAACCACCCCCACACCTACCCCTTCGTGAAGGAAGCATCCTCCATATGCAATCTCGGCGTTTAGTGATTATTATTAACATCACCGTGCTTATATTACAGCGAACCCACTTGGTATCAAAGTATGTTACATTAGGGATTGCACTTTCACAATAAAATACATATTCTAGTACTGTTGGTGGCGCTATCCGGGATTCGAACCCACTCTTTCAAAAATCAGGCAATTAATCGCAATCACACAAAGTCAACGATCGTACTACTCTGTCGCAATATTGTTCTCTTATCAATCTAAGGCTAAACAAAGTTTGCAATCTAAGATTGTAATGAGTTTGGATAAATATCATAATTATGGTCTTTAATTCCAAACTGATGCAAGTCTTTAATAACCTGTTTCCAATTTCGGGCACAAGATTTGACAATACATTTTATTATTCTACAATTAACAATGCAACCTACCCAGCATACTAAAGCGCCAGAGCCGTTGGATTATCTCAATAGGTTTCACGTTGCAACGAAAGTTTGCAATCACACCTTGGTCAGAAACAACAGAAATATAACAAGCTATCACTCTAATCGGCTATTCAGTATGGCGTTGGGCTACTACATGTATTTACGACAGTAGTTGCGTCACTTACCGCATCCGAGAAATAGCTTTTCCTTCTGAAAGGTGAAGGTCAAACCTCCCATGTAGATGGTGTAGGATTCTTGAGATCCTCGGGAGTGGTACCATTCGTAGAAACAGTAGCCAGAACCTAGATGTAATATAGAGAAACAGAAACCAATAAAAACACGAGTTGGTCACGAATTGAACCTGTGTCTTCATGGCTCAAGCTTACACATGCAGCTGAAACACCTCGACCTACGCCCACAGCGACACAGAATACTACATAAAACTTAAATTAAACTAACTTTTAAAGCATATGTCCTGACCTGCGCCGAAGATGCCGATGAATGTTAACCAATCTGGGCAATGGAACCTGTTTCTTGAGGGCTCAATGTAACACATACACGTGCAGTTGAAACATCATTGCCCCTCCCACCACTTCCGGTCATTTCCCCCTCACCGACAGAATGCTAAATATAACTTAAATTAAACTAAATTTAAAAGTATATATTCTGACCTGCGCCGAAGATGCCGACGAAGGCGACGAGACTGAAGAACACCATGAAGCCGGCGATCCACCTCATGATGACGATGTATATAAGGGAGACGATCATCGTCAGCACCAATAACCTGCAAATATAATGCGCTCTCACAATTACAAAATGCTCGAATTTTTAGATTTTTTCGAATACTACGGTAACTGACGACAATATATATCACTGAGACAGCCATCGTCAGCACCAGTGCCTACAAGCATAATGCCCTCTTACAATTAAATCGAATTTTTAGAATACTACGATAATTGGAGGCAATGAAACCAGCTGAGAAACGTTGTTACGTACGTTCTCAATTATGACGAATATTAACACAAGAGATAGTCACCTCTAAAGTTGCTGTTTTGTTGACCGTAATTCATTTACAGTTATAAAACGTTGGAAAAATCAAGGTTGACGTGAATACATGATCGCATTCGAACGCGACTACGTCAAGTGAGCGAGTGAGTGAGTTTAGTTTTACGCCGCTTTTAGCAATATTCCAGCAATATCACGTGACATTCACGACGGGGGACACCAGAAATGGGCTTCACACAATGTACCCATGTGGGGAATCGAACCCGGGTCTTCAGCGTGACTAGACTGCGTCAAGGACCAGTGTAATAAGTGACACTTCAAAGAAAATGAGCGTTTGCGAAAATATTTTTTTCACTCACATGACGAAACTTAATCCGGATGATACTCTTTCGTGTGTTTCCGGATAAACAAATGTCCGCATTAATTATACATACTGAATTCACATAGGTCTGCAAACAGACCTTTGAAGGCAGACGGACTTGTAATAGTCAGGGGTTAACGTCGTGAGTGAGTGAGTTGGGTTCTATACCGCTTTTAGCAATATTCGAGCAAACTCGGCGGGGGGCACCAGAAAGAGGCTTCACAAAAAGTATCCAGTGAGGAATCGAACTAAGGCCTTCAGTGTGACGAGCGAACGCTTTAACCACAGTGCTACCCCACCGCCCCTTATTCTCTACAGGTATGGCCTCCTTGTGTTGTAATCTCCAAAATCGGCACAGACTAACGGTACTTACACGAGAATCAAGTACCATGTCTCCACAATATCCGAGATAATCTTCTCTCCATATTCCTTGGCTTTGAGAAACGCCTGGAATACCCTGCAAGAGAAGATGATATTCGTTATTAAGAGCATTGTATGCACTCGGCACAAATCGGCAGTGCCCGTAAAATGCCATTCGGTTTTGGCCGGCGTGTAATAACATCTCAAGTCCTGCCTAATGGTTTTTAAAACATATCAAGAAATGTGACTTCTTGACCTTATTTTCTACACAGGGATCTAATGTTTAAACTGACATGATGTTTACGTATAACTACCGATTGCATAAGTTGTTTTGTTGAAATCGACACGAAATATATGTGGGAGAGTGGAATGACATTTTGAGTGAGTGAGTGAGTTTGGTTTTACGCTGCTTTTAGCATTATTCCGGAATCATCACGGCGGGCGAAATGGGTTTCCTACAAGACAATCTGAGAGATCTACACTTCATTCCTAAACAAATAAATAAGGAGGAATCATGATGATTTTTATGAAATTGTGAGGTCAGATTAAATAAATATTTTTCCCAAACCATTCATACAACTAACATAATTTTGTTCAGTAAACAAACAGAGGTGATTGATAGTCGAAATGGCATATATTTTCATATTTATCAGAAATTCATGTTTGTGATTTTTATGTATAGAATGCCATAACAGAGTCAACAGACGGCGAGCTGTGAATGTTGTGGACGAATGTCATACACCGTGAAAACAGTGAAACAATCTCGGGAAACTTATCGAATGTTTGATCTAATCGACTTCACGGCGCCTACGGATATTTTTATAGGAAACATTATTGTTCTCTTTAAATAATGATTTCTCTAGATTCACTGGCATTTATTATCAGAAAAGTTTATATATTGTGACACCGTTTCAATCATATTGTCCAAATGAAAGTAAAATTATGCGTCCTAGAATATACACGCGTACATACACAGAGTGCAACTTTAACTAACTTACATGCAAAAAAGAGTGAGTGAGTGTGTTTAGTTTTACGCCGCTTTTAGCAATATTCCAACAACATCACGGCGGGGAAAAATAGAAATGGGCTTCATTGTACCCATGTGGGGAATTGAACCCCGGTCTTCGGCGTGACGAACGAACGCTTTAACCACTAGGCTACCCCACCGCCCCCTTAACAAGAAACTACGATATCGTATATACATATACATCAAACAAGTTGGTTCTTTAGAACATAATAAAGCAAGAACACATATTACAAAATATAGTTTTCATGAAATATCAGATTGATTCATGTGCAAGCATGCTCCTTCACCACGTGTAACCAGATAATTTAAAATTAGCATATTCAAATTCATAAAATAGAACGCGTAAAACCAAGAATATTATACGATAAGGACGTTCGTAGTATATATTTAATATACGTATTAATTGTGAACTTAATATCCTTAACCTTGAAAAGGTATATACGATCATCTGACCAACTATTTAATCTAACTGTTTCTGGAGTTATCAATGGATGCTAGTGACACCTGCAAGTTGCCATTCCACCACGTAAACACATTTGTTAGGAAAATATGTGAATATTTATAAAAGCATACTTTAGGTAATGTAGGTCAGGTTCATAATAAGCCTAGCTGTTGAATTAATATATTTTGTGTTGAATATTCCTTTTGTTGTTAAACAGAGAAGTTCCAAGCCACGATCGTTTTGTTTGTTTTGGCTGCCGAGTACACTGCATACGCCCAAACGACCTGTGTTTTTGTGAATACGTTTGTTACAGTATGAGTTTCTTTACTTTTTCCACTTATCTAATAAATTATTTTAAAATGCCAATTTACCGCTGACTCGAAATCCCCTCAACAGGGCTTGTTTCACGAAACGAGCTCAGCCGTTAGTCTCGTATTCCCCGCAACGCAGTGAGTGAGTGAGTTTAGGTTTACGCCGCACTCAGCAATATTCCAGCTATATGGCGGCGGTCGGTAAATAATCGAGTCTGGACCAGACAATCCAGTGATCAACAGCATGAGCTTCGATCTAAGCAATCGGGAACCGATGACAGGTGTCAACCAAGTCGGCGCCCCGCAACGGGCACAGGTTCCCAAAGCGATCTCAGTCAAGTTAATTGGTCTCGCTTAACCAAGTCATTTGAGCAATGTCGCGCTCGAATATTACAAAATATCTCCATTTCAATTTCAATAAGTTTCCAATAATGGGCGTCAAGCACACGTGCATATTGTGTAATATATTTTATGAATACACGTAGGTTACAATGACATCAGGTTTTTTTTATTAGCAAGTCAGGGTTTTAAAATATACGTCATTGTGTAACGAATATATAACTAACTGTAAATGAGATGTCCATTGTGAAGAGCAATAGTACGACGACTATAAATCAATATAAACAACAATACTGTTGTGTTTATGGAAGCTTTCATAGAAGTATTGAGCGTTTTTGGTTTCCAGTACCAAGGCCACCTAGAGCACTTTATTAACACAGTTAATGTCTATATATTGAATCAACTCCGAAATATGAGACAATACAAATCAATTAGCAATATCCGAATGGTACAATTTAACCAACATAAGGCAATATCCTATATCAGATTAACATTCTCCCGACAGTGCAAGTACAGCATGCATAGAACTGAACACTGAAACCAAGAGAAGATGCAAGCAGTATTCTTGGCATGCATTGAAATATATTTCACGACGAGATATAATAAGAATTATTATTAATACATACTGAAATGCAATAGAAAAGTAACTGTATGCGATGTTTATTGATGGGGATTTATCGCATACCAACTCAAAGTCTGGAAAACATGTTACCAAAATACCTTCCTATATCTTGGCGTATATAACTACCTGTATTTGGCTTTTTACATCTGGAAGGAATAATACTATTCTGAGCTTCAGAAGGGCGATCGATTGTCGATTTATGCCTTTAGCAATATTCCAGCAGTATCATGGAAGTTGACACTGAAAATGGGCTTCAGACATTGTACCAACGCGGGGGAATCGAACCCGGGTTTTCGGCGTGACAAGCAAAAGCTTCAACCACTTGGCTACCCCACATCTTCAAAAGAACATGATAGCAGGCTCAGTTTGAGCTCTCCTAGTTATGTCGAGAGTCGAAATATTTCCAAAAGTTTGTTGCATGTGTCTTGTTTAATGCCGCTCTCGGCAATATATTGTATAAAAGTGTGTGACTATGGTTTTACGCCGCTTTCAGCAATATTCCAGCAATATCACCGCGGGGGACACCAGAAATGGGCTTCACACACTGTACCTATATGGGGATTCGAACCCGGGTCCTCGGCGAAACGAGGAAACGCTTTAACCAGAGGCTACCCCACCGCCCCAGTCAAATAACAATCAACAGCATCGTGGCACACAATCACCAGATTCCACCCTCACGATCCTCATTTTAATCCAACGTTTTCGATCAGAATAAGAAACTTTGGGACCTACATATGGACGCAACAAGTTGTCGCGAGTTCCAGGGAATTATACGAAGCATATGGAATAGTTAGGATTATACAGTATCGGTGTCATATAGCAATACACATTCATTGCTCATACGCCAGGTGCAGCTGTATGTGAGGAAATATAGAGCCATGCTTCGTGAAACTGGTTACTCTCCACCGATACGACATTCAGTTGTTCAGAAAGACAGACGTTGATGTATCTAAAGCATGAAACATCAGTGACAGTTTTCTAGAAATGAGAACATCCAGTCTTGTGTAAGAAGACAACAGGCCTTTTTCCGCTCCTATAAAGGATGAATCACATCTACATCATTAACCCATTTCCTTGCCGTGCAGGACAGTTCTTTATAGGTCACGCAGCACGAACGACCAGGCCAATACACGACCTCTGACATCATCACCATGTCGCCATGTTTTCTGTTTCAGTTAAACAGGTTTATAAACTGCTAATGTCTTAGAAGGTTCATAAAATATCTCTTTTAAGGTCGGCACAAGTAAAGTCTATCACAAAGGCCCTTTGAAGACAACAAACGTTGGATCGTGCCCGTTAAAAACGGTTTCAGTTCTATTTTCAAGAACTTTTAACAAGATATCTTTCATTGTCTACACGCGTTTCCGTGGTTTTAGAGAATTTTTGTTTTTCATTTAAAACAGTTTTTTGACAGTTTACTTTTTAGTAATATAATAGACGTGATCTAAAAATGCTACAAAAATAGACAAAAGAATGTTAATTTTTAAAAATTGTTTGCAAAGATTTCAGTATTTGATGGTAGGAGCGTCTCTGTGTGATGGGTATGGTCACGTGGTGCTGCATGACACTGTCAATGGGGGCGTTATAACCTGACACTGGCCTCCAGGTCGCTTGGTGTTATATTGTAGTCTTGGTGAAGCCTGAAATTCAGATAATGATTACACATCTACCAAGATGGTAGCGTCAGGTCTTAGGCTTTTGGACATTCCTAATTAGACTTGGTAATAACATATGATATGGGACAGAGTAAGTGAGTTTAGTTCTACGCCACACTCAGCAATATTCCAGCTATATGGCGGTCGTCTGTAAATAATCGAGTCTGGACCAGACAATCCAGGGATCAACAGCATGAATATCGATCTACGCAATTAGGATACAATGACATGTGTCAACCAAGTCAGTGAGCCTGACCACCAGATCCCGTTAGTCGCCTCTTACGACAAGCATGGGTTACTGAAGATCAATATTCTAACCCGGATCTTCACGGGTCGATATAGGACAGAACTAGGTGTGGTACTTGTCACAATTGTAGAAACAAAGATCTAAAATTCGACGTATATATCGAGTTCCCTCACTTTCTGAGGTCCGTACGAGACCACCAAACACTTGGAAAACTTCGGAGAAGATTCTATCGGTCTTTTTTTCCGAGAAAGTAGTTGTGCTTCTTCTAAAAGCATTGTCGTCGTTTCCCGAGAGTTTGGTCGTCGTTGTTCCAACTGCTTGATCGTCGTTCTTCCGACGGTTTGGTCATCTCTTAATAGACACTTCAGTTTTGTGTGAAAATAATTTCTTTGGTGATTATTGTGTTTTCAACCCTGACATTTGATATATAATCGTGTAATTTTGGCCCATTGTAAAATTTTAAATCCTTCAATTAAAAAATGTTAAATGCGGTGAAAAAATGTTTGTTAAATGCAGATAAGTTAATGTAGCATTTACCCTGCCTGTGCGTGAGAAATTAATGTCAAATATAGTAAACAATATATATATAGCTATTACTTGTCATATGTTTGGTGAGGTGAGGTGAGGTGAAATTGGGTTTAACGACGTGCTTGAGAATATTTCGCTCATATGACGACGTGCATGCGTGTGTATGTGTAGGTTCGGCTGCTTGTACTAGCCCAGACTGAAGCTGGTTATATAGTGCTAACCCACTGAGATACCATGCCGCAGTGAAGCATGAATACCCCACTCAGACACATTATACTGACTCCGAGCCGACCAGTCCTTGTTGTACCCATTAATGCCGAGCGCCAGGCAGGGACCAACAAGTACCATATTTTAAAGTCTTTTGGTATGACGCGGCCTGGGATAGAACCCGCGACCTTCCGCTCTCCAGGCGGACGCTCTAACCACTACACCACGGAGGCGGTCTCATATGTTTGGACGCCTGTATAGCTATATTCCAGCATGTATGGACGGGGGTCTGAAAACATTGAGTCTGAACGACCCAGGGGTTGATATCATGAGCACCGATAAAAGGATGACATGTATAGTCGAGGCCACTGAGCCTGGATAACAGATCCATCTGATCTCTTCTTACGAAACGCATACGTTGCAGGGGATATATTTTTACCCGGAATTAATGCTGGTGCCATATTTTCTGACAATAAATTTGGTCAAACGCTACAGAATCTGGAACCATTTCATTAAGCCGATGAAAGTCTTCTTGCATGTAGGGCAAATATAAGGGGAGACAACTCTAATTTACTTACTCCTCTGCCACCTTGATGGCCTCCCCTGTTACCGTGTTGTTGCTGCCATCTGTGATGGGGATATTGCTTCCGGCGTTGGTCGTCACTTCAGCAACGGTCTTACCCAGACTGATGAACTGACTTATATCTGGCAGACATCTGTTTACAACTGCAATGATATATTTGGATGTGCATTCAGACATCAGTGAATTACTGAGTGAGTGAGTGAGTGAGGTACGTTTTACGCCGCACTCAGCAATATTCCAGCTATGTGGCGGTGGTCACTAGATAATCGGATCTAGCGACGTTTTTTGCCGCCATTATGTCCACGCGCGTATTTCATGACAGCTGGTTGGTAAATAATCGAGTATGGACCAGACAATCCAGCGATCAACATCATGAGCACACATCTACATAATTGTGACACGATGACATGTGTCAACCAAGTCAGCGAACCTGACCACGCGATCCGTTGGTCGCCTCTTACGACAAGCATGGGTTACTGAAGATCAATTTTAACCCGGATCTTCACGGGTCTCGTCACGTCAGAGTTCGAGGTCTTACATGGTTATAATGAGAGACCTGTAAGGAGGATACAGATGTATTCACATATTTGCTTACAACTGCAAGGATATATTCGGAGTGGCACCAAGGCGCCAGTTTACTCCTGCAATGGTGTGTTATCACACACAACTATATACTATGACACAAAATCATTCACATCAATCAGAACAATAAACCACCCAAAGTAGTTCAGTAGTAGGCTTGGCCTAATTTGTTCAGGTTTAAGGCAACATTAACTTAAAAAAAACATCCCTTTGTCAGCCATGAGTGAGTGAGTTTGTTTCAGTTTTACGCCGCTTTTAGCAATATTCCCGCAATATCACGGAGGGGACACAAGAAATGGTCTTCACACATTGTACCCATGTGAGGAATCGAACTCGGGTATTCAGCGTCACGAGCGAACGCTTTAACCACTAGGCTACACAACCGCCCCTTTTCAGTCATGGAATCACTTGCTTTAAACATGCATAAATATTTCATTCAGCCCACGTTATGTGGCATGGCACCCAGTTTTTCACAGCACTGAAACCTTGTTTCCACCTTGGCAATCACTGGATAGAACCTTTGACAATTGCCAAAATGTTTAACGAATGAATGTCGTCAAATTTGCCTGCCTGATCACTGTCCACCATTGCTTACGCCGAGCATGTGATATTTGGGACCTATTATTACCTGGAATCCCGTGGAGTGAGTGAGTATGGTTTTACGTCGCTTTTAGCAATATTCCAGCAATATCACGGCGGGGGACACCAGAAATTAGCTTCACACATTGTTCCCATGTGGGGAATCGAACCCGGGTCTTCAGCGTGATGAGCGGACGCTTTAACCACTAGGCTACCCCACTGCCCCTGGAATCCTGTGGAGAAATAGGCCATATTTCTTACCTGGGGTGCTCTTGAGGTAGAACGGGGCACAAGCCTTTGAAAATACTAAGTCCTTCACCATCTGCAAGGAGAAGGTAAAATGGTTAATTGTTTACTGGAAATTATGTACCAAGCTTGTTTAAAATGGTTAAAATATAAAATCACTGCAAACTAGAAGTCCTAAATGTACCTATGAAATCAGTATGAAAATACCATCGAATAACCACCGAATAACCATTCGTTATTTGTTTCATTTATAGCCACGTTCAAACATTGGGGAATACCCTATTTTGTACGGCACTGTATTTATGAATATTTCGTATCCCACGAATAGTCATTTTACACGAATACCTACAAGCCCCACAAAAAAATGCTTGTTTCTCGTCATTTTAAAGTAAGAAGACATACGTAAGTCGGAATTTTTTTTCTTTAATTGGATGCAATAAGCCAAGTTTATGTGTCTTTTTCGAGAATAATATAATTATTCTCAAAGTATTCATTACAATGCATCTTTTACTTGACGACCGGGGCGTCCGGACGGGAATATATAAAAACAGGAATGGAGAACAACTAAACAATGCGGAATCGGAACAGAATTTAGAGTGCAAAAACGTTTTGGGGCCGGACTGGTCCTACAAGCAGGAGTATTTCTTACCTGTGTTTTGTCGGCTCCGTCAACGCATATCAAATCCGTCGCGGCATTTCCGGTTTTGAGGAAGTCTGTGGCGGCCACGTAGTTGACATCTGGACAGCTCGACACACACACCTAGAGAACAGGGCAACCTTTTTAACCCGGACACCGCTCTTCTGGACACTAGGCGTAATGACTGAGTGAGTTTAGTTTTACGCCGCTTTTAGCAATATTCCAGCAATATCACGGTGGGGACACCAGAAATGGGCTTCACACATTGTACCCATGTGGGGAATCGAACCCGGGTCTTCGGCGTGACGAGCGAACGCTTTAACCGCTAGGCCCCTTCGGCGTAATGAGTGATTTAACATTTAAGGCCGCGTCGGTATATTTCAGCCATATAAGTCATAATTAATGATATTGAAGCATATCATGAATCGGACAAAAGGCATATTTCATCATAATACATAATCTATGCAAAGTTGCATTTCCATACTGGTTTTATTAAAAATTCAGAATGGTTTGTCACAGAATAATCCATCCACGTCCTGGTGGCTTCTACATATCTGACTTTGTGAAAATGTAACTAGTGATCGATTGCATGAACACCGATCCACACATGACGACACAGTTAAGCAAACATCGTTAACCGATCGACATTTCTTCTCTTTTGACCAGCATATTGTCCTAACCTGATCCCTTATCCCCACTGGTTTGAGATCCGGGTTAGAATTGGTCTTCAATAACACATGCTTGTCGTAAGAGGCGACTAACGGGATCGGGTGGTCAGGCTCGCTGACTCGCTGACACATGTCATCGTGCCCCAATTACGTAGATCGATGCTCATGTTGTTGATCACCGGATTGTCTGGTCTAGACTCGATTATTTACAGACCTCCGCCACATAGCTGGAATATTGCTGAGTGTGGCGTTAAACCACAGCCCAACCAACCCACTGGTTTGACTGAAGGTATCACCCTACCTGGGGGGTGGGGCAACCGTTGATGAACACGCCAGGACCCATCCGGCCGCACTCCGTCAGGTCGAAAAAGAACAAGTTGTTTCTCCCCCTGTAACCAATGGGCCGTATGTTATCCGCTGATCTTTATGGGGTTTTCAATAAAATCTATGCATTTCTAAAATAAATAATACAAATAAGATTTCTGAAACTAGAATATTTCTCTGCAGAAGTTTTCTAAAGAAACACAAAATTAGCCTATTATCTACAAGAACAAATTTCAAATTTGTGGATAGAAATGCATTTCCTCATACAAGCTTCTAAAGCAATATTGTTCAATGCTGGATATATACTAGCCACATAAAGAAACTGTGCATTGTCAAAATATTATTCCAGCTGATAAGTACGATAACAATGTCAAAGGTACATATAAACTTTAATGGAGGGATCATGAGACCATAACAAGTCGGGAGAATTTCAATTGAAAAGTCAATCACAATGACGTCACGAATCCACAAGCGGGACAGGGGTCAAACGACCATCTCGTCCCAAACATGCTCTATCGGGGAGATCCGGTGAATTTGCAGGCCAAGGCAGTAAGTCAACGTTGTGGTGTTGCAAGAAATCCATAGCAACCCTTGCCGTATGAGGACGGGCATTGTCCTGTTGGAATGTTAACCCAGGGCCATGACGTTGCAGAAAAATTACCACAGGTCGAAGAATCTGATCCCTGTTGCCGACACCAGTAAAGTTGCCCTGAACAATCACCAAAGGAGTTCTTTGGCGTGCTGTTAATCCACCCCAAATCATCACGGAACCACCACCAAAGCGATTCCTCTCCAAGACACATGCCTGTGCATAACGTTCTCTCACGCGTCTATAGGCACGTTGACGTCCATCACTATGGGAAATGTTAAACCTGGACTCATCTGTAAAAACATTTCTCCACCAAAACAAGGGTCTGCGGACATGATTTCGGCACCACATTCGGCGAGCTTGTCGATGACGTTGTGTCAATATAGACCGTATGGCGGGACGTCGTGGTCTGATCCCGTGATGACGTAAACGTTGTCGAACTGTGTTTGGGTGGATACGGCGAAGTCCTGGGATGGTTCGGGCAGTCATCACTGCAGTCTGAAACCTGTGGCGAAGATGGGTCACCCTTATCCATCTGTCCTGTCTTGGCGTTGTTACACGTGGACATCCAGAACGTGGCCGATCGATGACGTCATTTGTGTTCTGGTAGCGTCTCACCAGCGCAGAAAATGTGTTCCGGTGGCAATGGAAATGTGCAGCCACTTGTCGTTGAGACATTCCCCCACGGACCATCCCAATGGCCTCATGACGTTGTGCAGACGTGAGCCTTGGCATGCTATGCGTTTCAATAGCCGTTTAATTTTTTGAACGATCGCAAGGGCAGGGGTTGAGCTTTCCAAAGTGACAGTATTGTGTGGCATTCATTTGCTCTGTTTCTCTTTCCCGGAATGCACGTGCACCAACGTATTGCACGTCTCAAGGACGAACCCACTGACGTCACGGAACGTGGCACGTGCATGCATTTTGGATACATGTCACTAATCTCTGAGTTTAAATCCTTATGTGTCTACACAGATTTGATAAATTTAGATTTAAAATTTTTGTATGCACAGTTTCTTTATGTGCCTAGTATAAGTTTATTCAAGTTGCATGATTCCCTCTGCAGGGTCATAATCTGGCTGGTGCTCATTCCTAGTTTGATCCCTCGTGCTTTCTTACGCCCTCTCACTATAAACAACGATGTCATGGTAGCTGTTGTCGTCACCATGATTTCTTTCTGGTGCCGAAATTGGCAACACAGAGTTGTTTCCCTTTTCCATACGATGATGGAATAATCCACAAGAGAAATAATGCTATAATCACAAATACACTCGAGAAGTGATCATTACAATATATATATGTAAGTAATTGAACTCACCGCATTGTACCAATGCCGCACAGGTTACCCTGAGAATCCTGGGGGTAGAGCAGGAGGGTGGGGTCTCCATAGGCATAGGCTGTGGGGGAAGTAAGAGTCATGTTACTATGACGTTGTGGTAAGGTGGGTGAGTTGCTGCTTAGTTTTAGCCGTCATAGCTGCACATCTTACATAGGGTGCTGTTCAAATGTTCGAATCCCAAAAAATTTCTTCATATTGTTTTAACGTTGTCTGTTGGTTCCATTGATATGTAGGTTGCCATTTAACGTGGTTTACCGTGTCATTTGTGTGGCTATCTTTTCTTTATTCCACACTTTGGTACTGTACTTTCAGTGAGTGATTATCCTGGTTTTGTACCCCGATGGTTTTACCCCGATGGCCTGCAATATCACGGCGGGGGACACCACAAATGTCTCACACATTGTACCCATGTGAGGATTCGAACACGGGTCTCAGGCGTGAAGAGCGAACGCTTTAACCACTAGGCTACCCCATCGCCCTTCCTGAGATGAAGCTTTGCATGCGGTTAGGTACAGTTCAGTGAAAGAACACTGCACTACTGAGGAACACTGATATATTTGACAAGTCGGTGTCTCCGAGCTGTAAGAGCTGAGAATGGAATTGTGATGATGGTGATGATGATTGTGATGATGGTGATGATGATGGTGATATTAAATGTGTGTGAGGTGTGTGAGTGTCACAAGTGACTCACCATAAAAGCCCACTACCACCTGTCCCCCCACGAACGCCAGGAACAGGATACAGCAGATGATGTCCGTACATGATCTGTGGATATATATATGTTATAATATATTATATATAAATTATCATTTATATATTATAACATAATGTATATAATGTGTGCTATAATGTGTTATATATTGTGATATGTCATAATGTGTTATATATTATGGTATAACGCGATATGTGTTATAATGTGTTATACATTATGTTATATATTATATCGCTTTAAATATTATGCTACAGCGTGTTACATAGCATGACATATGCTATTACGTGTTATGTATCACGATACATATGACATACAGTGTATCATAATCTGTTAATCGACACAAGCTTTGATCTGTGGAGATACATGCTATAACGTGATACATGAGATACGCTTGGATAGTTGGGGATACAAAGATATATGATATAACTTGTTATATATGAGACACAAGTTAACATATATGTACTAAACATATATTACGAGATATATATTAAAAAAAGGCTTACATCATCTACCATATACTTGATATCCAATCTCTATATATGCATTATGTATATCATATAGCAAGCTATACTCGAAACAACATAATGTTCAGATATATCTCGTAACTAGTTACATCAGACAAACGTCATGGTAATATATTACGATATGATATGACGTCGATACGCTGATTTGTAGATACCAACGATAGATGCTATTACAAGTTTCTATCAAACAGATGCTATAATCTGCGGATATATGTTGTGTATATAAACTATAACGTGATATATACTATAAGTGCACGGATATACAAGGCATGGATATCTGTATAGGGGATATGCATCGTGATATACACGTGACAGTCGTATATATTTCTCTTCCTATTACATGACGTAGGAAACGATTACGAGCTATAAATCTGGAATCTGTCAAGATGTATGTTCCGCGAAATGGATTTGAACAGTAAACTTTATGATAAAAATAATGTCCCAGCTGCTCATTTAAAACACAGTATGTTAGTCGTGTTAAATTATTTAATAAATGTTCCATTTCGGCTATTGTGATGCTAATTTGTAACAGCATCTGTGATAAGATATAATGTTCCGTATTCTTTACATTTCAAATATAAAACTTGAGAAATGTGTTGTTCTGTCTCATCCATCTGGTTTGTCACATAATGGATTCCCTTGCAACCTGATGGATTACACTGAAGCTCAGATATATATTGATATAAATAATCACTTTGGGTCTTGTAACGTTCAATACACAAACCATAAATCTGGAACGTGTGTAGCAAAATTGATTTTAAAATTTGAAAAGCTTGAAAAAGCCTACCTCTTTTTGATTGGTCCTTTGAAAGATGGGTCGTAAACCAATGGTTTCCCTGAAAAAGAAATACAACCCATAAAAATATTTATTTTGTAATAAATTGATGTTAACTACGCAGAACGTAGGCGACTGGACATATGGTTAATATAATTTGTTTTCTGGAAAAAGGGCATTTGGAATCAATGTACCAAACTTTCGTGGTGAACACGCCCTGTCGTCAGTATTTGATGATTCAAATCCACTGTCGGAATCATACAAAGGATTCTTCTTTCAGTCGAGATTTCTCACGATTATTACCACATACGACTGTTTTAGTTATGAGGCAAGAAAGGTTATTTATAGAATTGGTCATCAGTAACCCAAGCTTGTCGTAAGAGGCGAATAACGGGATCGGGTGGTCAGGCTCGCTGACTTAGCTGACACATGTCATCATATCTCAATGACGTAGATCGATGCTCATGCTGTTGATCCCTGGATTGTCTGGTCCAGACTGGAGTATTTACAGACCGCTCCCCATATAACTGGAATATTGCTGAGTGCGGGGTAATACTAAACTCACTCACTTACTCCGACTATGAGTGACTGAGTCAGTTTAGTTTTACGCCGCTTTTAGCAATATTCCAGCAATATCCGGGGGACACCAGAAATGGGCTTCACACATTGTACCCATGTGGGGAATGGCACCAGGGTCTTCTGCGTGACGGGCGAACGTTTTAACCATTAGGTTACCCCACCGCTTCAATTCGACTATGAATGTTCAAGATACATACGACTGGTTTAAGAATACTGACCACATGTCCAGACTGACCTGTAGTAGCTCACAGAGATTGCAGGAAAGGAGACAATTAAACGACAGTCGGAAATTAACGCCAACAGTTACATCATGCATTCGATTTGGTCTTTAGTTTTTCAGCATGACAAAGTCCGTTTGTACACAAGAAAAGAAGTTAGGCTACACATAAACACATAGTGTTTGATAGAAATGCGCTTGTTACATACAAACATATGGATACCTAGTGGTTAAAGCGTTCGCTCGTCACGCCGAAGGCCCGGGTTCGATTCTCCACATGGATACAATGTGTGTAGCCCATTTCTGGTGTTTAGTTTTCCAGCATGACAAAGTTCGTTAGGCTACACATAAGCCCCGGGTTCGATTCTCCACATGGATACAATGTGTGTAGCCCATTTCTGGTGTCCCCCGCCGTGAAATTGCTGGAATATTGCGGCGTAAAACTAAACTCATTCACTCCGAATGTGGATCGGATGTCCAATCTGGCTTATTGAATGTCATGATATCAACCAGCGGCTGCGTTGTAACAGACCAAAACGACGTGGCCATCGAGGCCATATTTATAAAGGCAACACTATTTTGACAGTTAAAATACAAGCGGTTTTGATAGTCTGTCTCACTGCACCTGAACTATCTCTTCTATCCAGTCCTTTCTGATATAGCGCGGTGGGAAAGCCTAATGGTCAAAGTGTTCGCTCGGAAGACCCGTGTTCGAGTCCCCACATGGGTACAATATGTGAAGCTTTTTTCTTGCGTCCCCCGTCGTGATATTGCTGGTATTTTGCTTAATTTAGTCTGTCTCACATTCCCTGAACCACATTATTTTCCCCAATGCCTAGCCCTCCCTGCAAATGCTAAAGCCCTAAATGAAGCAAGTCTACATTTCATCAGGTTCAGGCTTGAATCTCCCATCTCACTGGGGCTCCTTTTCAATTTAAATGGGTTAATTTGTTACTATCAAAATTAGATATATTCAGGGACTAAGCGTTAGTCCATGCTCAATGCGGCGTAAAACCAGACTCATTCTTTCACGCTTAATACCTGGTTGGAAAGCAAGAAGTTGTAATACAAAATCTCTAAATAAAGCAAGTCTAGATTTGCCTCAGATTCAGGTCACTTGGGTCGCCTTCAAATATCTCCCCTGTCACTTGGGTCGTTTTCCATATCAATAGGTATGTGTTATATATATATATGTACATATACATCCATAACACTAAACGATTTATTTCTATATCACTTGTCTGCCTCTTGTTGTAATATATATATATATATAACTATAATCCGTTATATTTATATGTTATATATTTTCAGAGGCTAATCGTTACTTTAAGTCAATGTGAGATCTATAAGTTCTAGCGTTCATGTTTTGCCTGCTGCTAAGTCTGACGCGCAACATGTTACCAGCTGATACAGACTCGCGCCAGTAACAGCGTCAGCTCCATTGTAACCGCCCTACATGCTGTCACCTAGCAGTAGTTCCATGTGTCAAGTTACTGTAACACTTACATTCAATGAATACACTGAATTATTTATATTTCCGAACTGTCGACGATGTTTGTTAGCACGATATGATTGTGGAAACTATTCTTAATTTACTGTTTTGTGAAAACATTCCTTCTGTTTAATTTTACTTTGGTTTAAACAAGGCGTGTGAGGTAACGGTGGATGTGACGACTAGCTGAGTTTAGTTTTACGCCGCTTTTATTTTATCCATGTGGGGAATCGAACCCGGGTTTTCGGCGTGACGAGCGAACGCTTTAACCGCTAGGCTACCCAACCGCCCCTTGGTGTGACGAAGTGATCAAGCTGATAGACGTTTACGACTTGGGGAACCATTGATTATGGTTTTTAAAAGTTTAGAATATAATCAGGCACATCTGGGATTCAAACCCAGTATCGGCGGATCCGCTCTACGAATTTCGCAGTCAGAGACCATTGAGCCACCCGTGACCCCAATACCTTTGATACAGCCTGTTATTCCTTGAATTACGAAGTTCCATCAGAACGACTTTACGCAAGAAAGGTTACATAAGTATTACATTCACCTGGGCCCTTATTCTCGAAACGACCGTAGCCCTAATCATTTTTTAACTTTGATCACAGCCAATGTGTTAAGATTGGGCGCTACGAACGTTTCGAGAAAAGCTAGCCTGTATTGTTAATTCAGTTTGGTTTATTGTAGCATTTCTAATCGGAACTTCCTATACAATAACCGTTTGTAACGAACGCGCTAACCAACCAACTGACGAACAAACTGTGTTATATTTTTCTTCTTTGTCCTGGTTACTTTCGGTACATATTAGTCGCAATGCTTATAACGAACTGCCGTTATAACGAACTAAAATTGTGGTCTTTTTCAGTTTGTTATAACGGTAGTTCACCGTATTTGGATGGCGATTTACTCGTCACTTTGAAGGCTCAGGTTCAATGTGTGAAGTTCATGAGCAACGTCCTGTACCGTGATGTTGCTAGGATGGTGCCGAACGCGGTGTAGCTGAAGCAGACCCTAACTGCTATAACTGATGTCACAGCATGTAAGTGCATGTGCGTTGGCTTTATGTTTGTTCTGTCACCAATTAATAATAATAATAATTGCCATTTGTTATGCGCTATAATCCGCCCACTAGTGCATGGTAAAAGCGCAGGGGGATGAGGGAGAGAGTCAGTTATATACAGAGGAGAAACGATAAGTCTTCAGTCATGATCAAGTCAGTGAGGTAGGGTGGGACTTGGTTGTGGGGCAGTTGTAGACGGTGCAGAACTTTAAAGTTGATACGTTCAATTGGAAGCCAATAAAGTGGTTTGACGACTGGAGTAATGTGACATGAGTTTGACTGTGACGAAATGATACAGGTAGCCGTAGTCTGTATTTTCTGCAGTCTTTTAAACTGAACCCTGTTAAGAACGCTGCAATAATCTAGTCTGGAGGAAATTAAACATCTGACTAGAATCTTCGCACTTTCTTTTGGGATGTATTTCCGGATGTTCCCAATCCTGCACAAATGGAAGTAGCAGGTTTTCCACAGTCTGTCGATATGTACATCCATGGAGAGATCATACGCCAAGATCCTTCATCAACTGAGAAAAAGCAACCTGCGAGGAACCTATTGTTATGTTTTTACTTGTGATATTCTTCAATTGTTGTGATTTGCCAAAGGTAATACTTCGGGTTTTTATCATTCAGACTAAGTTTTAAAACTCTACTTGTCATCCATGTTTATATCTGGGTTGTGCAGTTTTCAGTGTTCTTGAAAGTAGCTGCCGATGTATCTGGAGTAAAGGTATTGACAAGCTGAGTATCATCAGCATAGATTCATATACAGGAGAAAGAGGACAGGTCCCATAACAGAGCCTTGAGGGACACCGCAAGATAGAGTGGGCTTCTTGGAGAGAACACTGCCTGGCTTCTCTCTGTCAGGTAAGAGGAAAACCATGACAGGGCAGTACCACCTATTCCAACATGATGTTCCAGGGTAGATGCTTCTTATGATCGAGTGTATCGAATGCTGCACTTAAGTTCAAAAGCACCAGTGTAGCCATATTTTCAGCATCCACGATACATCTAAGATGGTTGACCACTCTCAGCAGTGAGGTCTCTGTGGTATGATGCTGCCGGTAGGCAAATTGAAAAGAGTCCAATATGTTGTTGATTGTGGCAGCTCTCTCGATCAAAATGGACAAGAAGGAGAGGTTAGCATCTGGCCTGTAGCTTTCCATAACATCCGAATCCAGTTTCTCGTTCTTGATGAAAGGCTTAACAACAGCATCTTTCAACAATTTTGGAAATATTACAAGTATGACTTGTCGTAAGAGGAGACTAAGTGGATCGGGTGGTCAGGCTCGGTGACTCCGTAGATGACAGCGACACCGACAGTGTGCATCGTGGTTCACTGTGTCATTCACAGGCTTGTCTGATCCAAAGGCCGCTGTCATACAGATGAAATACTGCTGAATGCGGCTTTAACAAACAAACGTACAAGAACAGACATGTGTTTGGCGTTTAACGCCGCACTCAGCAATATTCCAGCTATATGGCGGAGGTCTGTAAATAATCGAGTCTTGACCAGACAATCCAGTGATCAACAGCTTGAGCATCAATATACGCAATTGGGATATGATGACATGTGTCAACCAAGTCAGCGAACCTGAACACCCGATCCCGTTAGTCGCCTCTTACGACAAGTGTGGGTTACTGAAGACCAATTCTAACCCGAATCTTCACGGGTGGTGTGTGAGGTTGATATTTTGTTTCATTCTCTCTTTAG